TTACAAAGGGATTATGTGTTGCTTGACATAGTCTAATTCCATTTTTGGTGACTATATCCTTTTGTATTCCTGTCAGATCATATAAACTGATGCCTGAAACTCTTTCTAAGAATACAAAAGAACTCGATAGGCCTCCAGGGCAAAATCAGAAGCCTGTGTTCATCACAGCTGGCATTTATCTCAGAAGGGTTAATCCCAGGGTAATTCAGAAGAATATTTTGTACCTTGTACAATTCTTGTTTCTTCTGAATATCTTTTCTTATTTGCCCCATGCAAGACAAACTGAATGTCCAAGAAAAACTCTGCTTGCTTTCTTCCTTTTATTGAATAGGCATAAGCAAGCAGATATAAATATGTTATACCATAATCTAATGAATACCCAAGAAGGTTAATATAAAAGTGTAATACAATGTTATAGGAATATGACCATGGAAACTAATGAACTAAATGAAAGATACAGTACAAGTAGCTACTCTAACAAAATTTTAAAAACGCTCGGACAAACTTCTAAAAGCATTTAATAGTGTGCTTAAGAATGAAATAATATGATTGTATCTAAAGTGTTATAAAATGCTTAATGAAAAAAGTTACAAAGGCATATTTTCTAAGTTATAAAAGTCTAACTTTGTACTTTTATGAATTCTCAGTATTTTCTGCTTTGCAGCAAATAGTGTTCTGGGACATGATTTAGAGTGCAGCTAAATTGACAGATAATGTGAGAAATGCTCCAGTATTGTGACAGCCTGATCCACATTATTTTCCATTGACTTCATGATGTAAAAGTCAATTAAAGGGAAGGGAAGGGAAAACAAGAAGACACCAGGCACCAGATATGAGGAGAAGAGGATTCAGTTAACAAGCTGCAAACAAGGCTGATTTCCTTCTCTCTCTGTTGATACCTATGTGTTTGGCTGGAACTAATTAACCCAGGAAACCTGACTTCCTGGGTGATATTTCACAGCAGATTCATTCGCATTTTTCCCAATGCATAGTCGTACCCTAAGACTGGGGAAATAATATGCAGAGAAATAATTGTACATTCCTTCCTCTGGTATCCCTCTGTCAATTTGATTCAAATTCAAAGTCCTGCACACCTTTCTTCAATTTAAAAAAGGGGGCATACCAGGTTTTCCAGGATTTTGTCTATTTTGCCCTATCTGCAACATGGTGTTAGAAAGGATCACAAAGTTAGTTTAATTCATCAGCCTGTGTTCAGATGGATTGTGTATGTATGTTTTGTAAGTGTATACCTAAAATCATGTCAGAACCTTTTGAATCCTCAGGTGGCAAGAGATTCCTCCAAGTACTTTGTCCCTAATTTGTTACTTCATTTTATTATAAATGATCGTGTCATGTTGTTTAATTTGTAAACAATCATCATAGAGGGACACTTAGTTTCTTGACAAAAGCACCTAAGCCAAGGAACACATTATTTTAATTTGAGTTTATAAACAATATTTAGAATTACAGGGAGCTTCCGTGACCATCTTTATTTGATATACACAGTAAACAAAAGACAACATATTGTGCTTTTATAAATAGTGGCGATAGAGTAAGGAGATGGACGTTAGCCATTTTCTAGAAAGCTGGAACATTCAACATATAACTGTTTTGAATTTTACTTGTCAACAAGTAACCAAAAAAAAGAGAACAAGCTTCACTGTGGCTGTATTTGACCGTACGACTGATAAATGCAACCATGTCTTTGTTGCATATAAAGCTTTGTAACTGTGAAAACGTTCTGCTACTGTACAATAAAAACATATACAAATTTTTCTAGAGACAATATACTTTTAAAAAGTGAAATAAAATAACTGCTCTATTATTTGTAACATATTGAAAGAGCAATCTAAGGAATTCCTTTATGTTTAAACAGCAATCTGACACAAACATTCACATATTATATCCTGTAATAGTGAAAGGTTCCCTTTTGTCTAGGCAGTGTGTGCTTGGCAAGGTCAATGACCCTTAATAATTTTGCTGTCTCAGATTATTGCAGAAGAAATATTACTTTGTCACTGTTTCCAAAATCAGAAGGCACAAAACCAAATGGCAAACCAATGTTATTGAAAGATCACATGTACACTACAGGCTTATACTGGGTTTAGTGTGGTGAGCGTGTCAGAGATCCCTAGTTGTATAACACAATTAATGGAAATGAACAGCCCCTGCCCGGGAGAAAATTATTTGAGAGTAAACCAGCCCCATCCTTACTCTGGACACATCATTCTTTTTTTAAATAAAGCTTTCATTGTAGCTCTATCTTCTGCTAAATTCTTCTCTTTCCAACCTAAACAAGGCCCAGTCACAGGACTTGAACTCTCAGGGCTGGCTGCCAAGAGAGAATGACTGCTTTGGTAACCTAAAATTGTAGTGCAAATAAGTCCTAAATGTCCAAACACCTTCTAACATACCATATTGGTTCCCTCCAAACTCCAGAGTGTGAGGAAATGGCACACGTATCATAATAAAAGCTGGCTGGATAGATCACTGATTTAGGTTACGGAGATTGGAAGTTTGATTTCCAGCTGTGTCTTCCAGGGGAAAAGCCAGACTTGGGAAAGCTGCTCAGTCCCAGGGTGTCCCCAGAAGTGCTTCTGAGTACTCACTACTTTAAAAACCCTGGAAAGGGTTGTCATAAGTTGTAATCAGCTTTACAGCACACTATCATTATCATCATCAGACATAAGGTTGCCAAGTCAGCAGCTTCTCATGCCCTGTGATTCCTGGGGCAAAACCTTTGGCTGAGAGCCTGCTCTTTGTGATGTCTTGGGTGGGCCCTTGTATAACAAATACAAAAATAATGTGTGTGTATGTGTATGTGCAGGAGACAGTGAGACAGATAATGTGAATTTTCTTTACTAATTCATGAATAAATATGTTGTGCTGATCACACCTACAAACACCTTTGCACTGATCCAGTGTAAGCCTTGGTGCATGTTGAAAGCGTGAAGGAGAGGGGTGTCCAGGCATCAAAGCCACCACACAAAAAAGAGCCAAACATTCTCCCCCAATACCACTTGCAATTTGTGTCCTCTCATGGAGACACAAGGATGCATTACAGTTCCCTGAGACCAGTTGACCTCTGACAGGTGGTATTCCTAAAAATGGGCCCCAGCAAGGAAGTACAGTGGTGCCTCACAAGATGATTGCCTCGTGGGACGATTAAATCCCAAGACGATTGGTTTTTGCAATCACTGTTGCACTTCACAAGATGATTCTGTGGATGATTTTCGCAAGACAATGATTTTTCTCCAATGAAATACATTAAATAGATTTTAATGCATTCCAATGGGGAACCGCGTTTCGCAAGACAATGTTTTCGCAAGACAGCATTTTTTGCGGAACGAACTAACATCATCTTGCGAGGCACCACTGTATCCGTACAATATGTCATCATTATAAACTATGAGTTTTTTTTTACTTTTCCTGAAAGACGGTAAAATTGCAGCCATCAGACAAGGTGGCTTATTCCCAAGATTTCCGAATTAATAATGGCATAGAGAGAGAGAAGGGGGGAGACAAATAAAAGAATGATTGTATGCAACTAATTGAAAGCATCCCTTGAATCCACCACTGTCATGAAAGACCAAAACAGCCATCAAGTATCTCCAGTTTGAACAGAGCTCAGAACTTGTTCCATATTTCCTGGTGATGAATCTGTGAAGCCCTATGCTTTGAATTTCCCAAAACTGATTAATGAAAAGTACTATCTAAGCAGTTTGGAACATGTTTTATTTTATGGCATAGATGTTTATGCCTAATATATGCTACATGGAAGTGAGAGCTGGACCATAAGGAAGGCTGACCGCAGAAGAATTGATGCATTTGAATTGTGGTGCTGGAGGAGACTCCTGAGAGCCCCCTGGACTGCAAGGAGAACAAACCTATCAATTCTGAAGGAAATAAACCCTGAGTGCTCACTGGAAGGACAGATCCTGAAGGACAGATCCTGGCCAATACTTTGGCCCTTTCATAAGAAGAGAAGACTCCGTGGAAAAGACCCTAATGTTGAGAAAGTGTGAAGGCAAGAGGAGAACGGGATGACAGAGGACAAGACGGTTGGACAGTGTCACTGAATTTGACCCAACTCCAGGAGGCAGTGGAAGACAGGAGGGTCTGGCGTGCTCTGGTCCATGGGATCAAGAAAAGTCGGACATGGCTTAACAACAACAATATATGCTACATATTGCACAACTACAATGTCTCTTTGGCTCAATAGCACTCCATATGCGTAATATGTAAAGTACAGGTCAGTGAAAATTCCAGCCCATTGTTCAACATTTCTACAAGGTGATAGAATTCTTTAAACTCTAAGAAAACCTGAAGTTAGAAAGTGTAGAGAAGAAATAAGCTGACGAGGAAGAAAAAGGCATATTCAGAGATAGAACAAACATTTAGTTAAAAGAGAACACAAGCAGAAAAAAAAACTTGCTTTGAAGGATGGGATCATGAGTTCATCTGTAAATAAGATGAATCTGCCACACCCACTTTACATAAAGTCAAAAATGTTGCATCGTTAATTGATGGTGACAGCTTTGGCAAGAACAGTGCAGGAGAAGGTGTTGTCTAGCTGCCATCCCCCAAATGTGTTTGTCTGCAAAGACCAGAGATGACATTTGCTGATTAGAGCCACTCAGTGAAAAAGAAACAAAAGGAGAGAGCTCTAGTCTACAAAACTTATTAATGCCCTAATAAATCAATAAGTTAGTTCAAAAGATTTTTATCCAGCAAAAATTAGCCAAGTCTTCCAGGATAGAGGCCTTCCTTACCCTACCTTGCTGTTTGTTTTATCCATTTAAAATGCCTAGATTATTACCTAAACAGCACATCATAATTCTAATTAGAAACATTTACAACTGAGCCAGCCTTTGCATTTAAATCATATAGGCAACAATGAAATGAGCCATCTATAATTTTTGCCCACGGGACAATGGCTACCTTTTCTCTGAGATGGGAAGTCAAATCTCAGATTTGAAATAGGTGCTCACATGACTCTTCCACACAAAATCCTCACTCTCATTCTCCTCCTCACCATCCGTGCAAATAAAAGGGTCAATGTCATCTGCTAGGATAGAAAACAGAGGCCCTGCTTTTCTGTGCAAAGGGGCAAATTCAAATGTGTAACATAGCACTGCCAAGACACACCTTGGAGAGACCTAAGGTTAAATCAATACAGATCACAGCTTAAAGGAGGAACACATTCTTTGCAGGCAGAACAATTGGGATTCAGCCCCTTGCAGGCAAAAACTCTTCTCTGGAAAACAGTTTCCCATTCAAGAACTGAATGAGCTGATTGATCTTGTCTCTAAATACTGGATCACAAAATACGATCAAGCTAGCGCTGATGGTATGGCCTTGTCCAATGAATGAAAAACAAATAACAAGCCAAACGTAGTCATTAGTCACAGATTTAATTTGCTGCCTGCCTTTCTCTACATTCTACCTCAGAAAAGAGGCACTCAATTTGAGCGGACAGATACAAACCTTAAACTGAGACAGAAGATAAAAGATAAAAGCCCATTTGTTTTATAAGCAGAAAACAATAGGGCGCACTTTCAGGCTCATAAGTAAGAAGTAATGCCCTGTGATTTCCTCCCATTGCATACATCTCTCACAGCATTATTATAAATCACATTTATCCCAGAATATATTTTTCCAAAGTCTTCATAAGGAAGCCAAACAAATATTGAAACACAACCATACATCATAAGTCACAGAAAACTATGTACATGTTTCCCTATAGAAGGACATACTTCAAATAAAATACAGTGAATATCAACAAACAATAGTCTTCCTTCTTCCCATTAGAAGTAGCTTGTTGCTTCCCCTTGCCCTGTTTTTGTACATAAATAGAAGAAAAGAGTCTTTGAAAATATATACATCCATATTGGTTTCGGAAGGTTTGTACAACTGTTACTGTTTTTCAAGTTTCCTTTAGTTCTCATTTTCTCTCCATCCACGGGCATTTTTTCCAAACTTATATACCAATCTCCGACCGTCTACACGCTCAAGAATTTCCCTTTTGTAATAGTACCTGTTTTAAAAAAAGGAATAAAATGACATGTTTCAGAAATATATCCTTAGCGGTGATGATAGGTGAATCCTCGCATTCAATTTGGAATTGATTTTGATAAATGAAACTATTTCTTCCCCCATCATACCCAAAACACAAAATACCACAGTTTATTTAAAGCCAAGTACTAAACGCATTTCAGATCATGCTGTGATAATGGTAATATGATCAGAAAAGCAAAATGTAATCCCAAACACTGTCCACAAGCATCTGTAAACTGTCCCTTCCATGTAAACCCAGGTCTAGGGCAGGCAGATATAACCCCAGTGGCCCAACCAAAATTATGCCAACATGATGTGTCAACAGGATTAATTCACCACCTCTGCGCAAGGCCCAAAATGGCACAAGTTTTTTGCCTTCAACAAGCTTAAATCCTATTAATGCAAATTGAATATTTTAAAAACTATCCCATTGATCCCAGTGAAACTCTTATATTGTGAGGTTTTGACAATTATCTACAGCTTTAATAGCCAAAAGTCCAATTCCCACACGGCCATTTAAACTGCGGTCCAGATTGTAACATTGTGGCTCTTTATGTCAGTCAGAGTTATTGCTGATATTTCTTTGGAAGAGTTCTAAATTAAATAGCTGAACTGAATCTACCTATGTCTGGAAATGTGTATGTCTTTGTTACTCTGCAGGATTTAGCAACGAATCATTTTGCATTGAAACCATCGCACTAAGCATTCAGGATCAGGATGTGTCCTGCATGAATATCAGGAAATGTTTGTGGCCAGCAGTCACAAAGATAAACGGATGATATCTCATTATATCTCACAGCTTCAGTGAAGACAGTAAAAGCTCTCACTGATTATAATGAACATGATAAAAAAAATAGAAATGTCATTTTGGAAGTGACCAGCAAGGTTTCTGTTCTTCTTAGGTTAATATGAATTCATATTAATTATTTCACTTCTTTAAGGAGTAAATATTCTGTAAATTATAATAGTTTGAATATTACACTGATTTTAAAAATGGCTTTTGTGAACCTGTATATGATCAATACCTATTATCTGATATTCTTAGAGAATCCAGACAAGTCAAAAACAAAATATGTGTTATCATTTCCTCCACAGTTCATCAGTCTTCACAAAATAAAGAGATACTTTTTTTTGGTATGAAGGTACTGGAACGTTCTCAGTAACACTGTCTGTTTCCATATGTGCAATCCTCTCAGATTTTCTTAGATTTTAGATTTCTAGTATCTTTCATACAGGCTAGTGAACTATTTTAAACTTTGGGGGTATTAAATCATTCAATGTCCCTGTGATTTTAGCTCAGTGTGTCTGTTCTTTTTCTCAGTATGACTTACAGGCAAAGCACATACACTCTAAACCAACCAACCACCGCCACCCCTTGTCACCTCATGGCACGGCTGAGTTTCTCGTAAGTCATGCTGCTGTTGTTTTTCTTCTTTCCCCACAGCTGAGCTACTGCCTCTGATTTCAAGAATCGAAAGATGCCTTCAGATCGATCCTCCCATTTTATCAACCCTGGATTCTTTTCTGGATGCAGAAGAATGTCTCGGATAAATTCCCATAAGTGAGTCCCCCGAGGAGCTAAAATAAAATGGGATTACAAGCAAACTTGTTGGAAAAATACACACACACAATGTATTCTACTTTCTTCCCAAAGAATATTCCTGACACTAGTTCAAATGCAGAATAACTTTAGAGTCTGTAGAGATGACACCAACCTGCATTCACAAACAGAGAGTCAAGCCAGGAAAAGACACTTTAAAAATCATCTATTATTTAAGATGCACAAATAAAAGGCTGAGATAAATAGCAACAGGACAGTGAGTAGCAGCAGGAGGAAGAAGACGACATGTCTGTTCCATCCCTGGCTTTGGTGCATTCAGAAGAATCTTTGAGAATTTGAGACACCTGACTTAGACTTTGTCACTGGCTTAGGACTGGATGGATTCACAGGTGCAGTCTATGTTAGAGAGAGATCTTCAAGAGGTGTGCTGAACTGCTTGTGGATTCCCCCTTTAAAATCACATGGGGCATAAGCCAACTCCACCTATTGGGTGGCCTCTACCATCTCCTTGTGCAGGGATTTTTTTAACATTTACTCTTCTTGACTTTGCAGGCTTGGTACCACAGCTTGCAGTGTGGAAAGTTTTGATCCCTTTTCCATAGAAATGTTGCCTTTCTCCTGTTTGGGAACAGAATAGGTGAAAATGCTTTCAGCTTTTACCTTGAGCAATTCTTATGCTCCCATCTGGATGATTAAGAACTAGGGATGAACCCTCTCTGTTTAAATTGCATCCTTATGGATGAGGCAGGGGATTAAAGTCATTTGGATCACAATCCTTTACAAGTCTTCCCTGAAGTAATTTCCACTGACTTCAGTAGAGTTACAGTAGTCTGATATAAGTGGATATAGCATTGCAGCCTTAATTAAATGCAAGGACTTAAGAAGTATGGAGGAGACCATAATGTCAGATATTCTCAGTGTCAGGTTTTAGCTCTGCTAGATGATGATGATGATATGATGATGATGATGATGATATGATGATGATATGATGATGATGATGATGATGATGATGATGATGATGATGATGATGATGATGATGATGATGATGATAACAATAACATTGAAATTTGCCCTTCTAAATGTTTCCACGTATGTCTTCAGAGTGTGCTTTGTTGTAGCCCATTAAAGCTGCATGTTAATGTAATTTATTTCTTGGACTCTATCAAGGATAATTTTTTGATTAAACAGAATGGATCCATTACCGTTGCAAAGTGTATGCTCATTACTAATGCCAAGGTTTTCAGTAAGGACCTAGGAAAGAGTATGTAATGTTGATATTTGGTTTTTGGAAATCTTGTAATATTTCCAAAACTCCTGTTTGAACTGAGCTAAGAAAAAAGTACACTAAATTGAAGTCTACTTAAAATGGTACATTGTGTACAGACCACTTAGTATCAGTTTTAAAAGGAACATGTAAATGAGGCCCCTCTCTATATATTTGAATAGAGGAGCTCTCTAGCCAGCTGATCAATTTCCAGATACAATAAGGAGAAGATTAATACAGACTAAGTAGAGCTGTATCACTAGACTTTTCCAGGCAAATTTCACTTGTGGAAAGACAGAGAGGTTTCAACATTGCCTCAGCCCTACCATCACATTCCCTGTGGACTCCAAGTCCACAGTGTCCACACATTGGAAGCATACCTGCATTTGGTCCCATGGTGTCCCCGTTTATAGTGAGAACACACATATATTTGACAGACATTTTGTCTATATCAGTGGTTATCAACCTTGGGTCCCCAGATATTCTTGGGGTGCAACTCCCAGAAGCCTTCAGTATTAGGTGTGCTAGCAGGACCTTCTGCTAGTACACCTAATCCAAGAATATCTGAGAACTCAAGGTTAGGAACCACGGGTCTATACAAGCGTTCCCAGCGTATAGACAATTTGATGCCATAGTCATCAGAGGACACAACAGTGGAAGTAGGGAAAATGTACAACCTCTCTCTTGCACACACACACACACACACACACACACACACACACACACACACACCATGTGTGATATTAATCAATAGCATGGAGAGTGGAATGCCTAAGCAAGAATACTTTATTTAATGGTAAGGCTAGTGGTGCGTGATTCCTTTTCTGTATCTCCTGCAATTTTCCTTTCATTGCTTTCGACACAGTAAATATTTAGTCAGCCTCTCTTGCACTTCAGTAACTCTATAGCAGCTGACTTACTGTGCTTCTTGCTGTGTGATTTCGGAGGATGATCTATTTTTTTCATGTCCGAAGAATCTTCTGCAACAGAAAAGGGTGTTAGCTCTTGCACTCACGTATTATTTATATCCCATCGCTATAGACCAAAGTATATTTAATTAAACATATATTCTAAAGGAGGTAAAGAAGGATTGAAAATGATCTTAATAATTTTATTTCTTATTAACTGGAATATCTATATGCATTGTCATGATGATGCGACATACCCTTAGGAATCATTTTTCCCCTTATAGAATAGATTTTGCTAATTTTAAATACTGATACTATGCAAACTTAAACTTAAAATAAAAAGAGAGCATTTGGCCCTGGTATAGGAGAAGGAGGACATATTATTTAAATGTATGTCCCAGTTTTCAACCACATAGTTATTAAAGTATATTGCACTAGTTAAAAACATAGCACAAAACTACATTAATATTCAATAATTTTATTAACTTCAAACCAGTTTTTTTTAAAAAATACAATGACATAATGGACTTAGGAAGTGCCAAAATCAAGAATTAGCAGAATAACCCTAAGTACTCAAACATTCAAATAAACAGAACAGACCTGATGAATCTTTTTGCACAAAACACATGCAAAGGCTTTGCTCCTAGTGAATGACAACCCTCATAGTTTAGAATAAGCAGTTCTTCTGGTGAACTACTGTGATATTTTGGGAACTGGGATGACTCCTTGAAATGAGCACTGCTCTGACTTTTTATACTTTTAAAGTTTAAAACCAGCAACTTGAATTTACCTCAGAAACAACCTGACAAAATGATGTACTGTAGCATACGTATTGTACAACTTTGATATTGGATTCCATATAAAAGCTGGGCTATTACAGTTTGAAGCAGAAATCCAAATGGTCTCCATGGTCATTTCAATAAGCTGTGCATTACAATAGTAAAGACATCACCAGAGCATTTCCAATAGGCCCTGGCCCCCAAAAAAGCCAAAGCTGACAATGCAGCTAGAGCTTCTAAATTGTTAAAAGAGACAAAAGTCTTCTGCTCATCTTCCCTATTATTTATTTATTTTTATTTTATTTATTTATTTTATTTATATTCCGCCTATCTGGTCGGTTAAGACCACTCTAGGTGGCTAGCAGCATAAAATAGAACAATATATATAAAACAATTTTACATAAAAATAGACATAATAGAATAGACAAATAGAAGGGAGAAAGAGGGCATCAGGGATTGACTGGAGGGAAGGTCTGCCGAAACATCCATGTTTTAAGTTGATTTTTAAAGATACCCAGCGAGGGAGCCACACGAATCTCAGGAGGTAGGTTGTTCCAGAGGCGAGGAGCCACCACCT